TAAAATAGTAATTGTTAAAAAAAGAAGCATATAGGCTGTATCCTAGGTCTGCTTAATACTTAACGGCTATTTAGTTGTCTATTAAGTATCAACTAAATAAAAAAAATTTTAAAAAAGGAAAGAAAGAAAACATAACCAAAAAAAAAACAAAAAAACGCGAATAAAATACGAAAAATAGCAAGGACACCAAATATTTAAATATAACCAAAAAAAGGCATCCGATCAAATATTTTTCAGCATATACTAAAAAGAATTAAGTATCCAAATTAACCCACCCTTGAATACGGCCGTAAGGTTTTTTGTATTCTTTTAAAATGCAACCTTCAAATATATAGAAACTTATCACAACATTTAATTTCTTCCGCAAAGTTCAGGGACCTAAAGCTTAAAATGACACATTCTGCATATGTCTATATTTTGATCCCCAATATCAAATAATGAGATGAAGAAAATAATATGACTAGCAAACATCTTATACAAACTTGGCATGTAATTGAGATACTTAACAATGAATGTCTAATGAAATACAATTTACTTCCTATTATTATTTGGAGTCAAAATAATTATCCCAAACTCGAGGACAATTTTGAATACTTATCATGATAAAAGAAAATCACAATACAAAAAAAGCTAGTATTGATATCATGGATTATTTAAATGGATCGAACGGATTAATAATAGCACTCATATTCTTGCATATTTAATTCCTCAATTATAATCGAACCTTAAAACTTTTATAATTTTTTTCTTCCATACCTAATATATTTTAAAATGTTCGGTATTATGATTGGATGGTATTCTCATGCCATCGTATCCAAAGCCTTCCTCTTCCCAACTACAGATTATAATCCATATCTAGGAAGAAGGTAATGTAATTACAAAGACAACTAAGACAAAATTATTAGCCTATTCTCCCAACTTGCAGTATTACTACTTTCGATTCATAAAAAAAAATTCTTTGAGGGAATGAAATCAGCAAAAAAGTATATCATAAATCATTCTCTTCTATATTTATTTATAAATAGAATTAATTACTTGTAAGTTTTTAATGTTGTTACCATTAGGTCCGATTATTGGACCAGTAAAATTTATGTGAGGGTAGTGTTTGTTGGGAAAGTATATACGAACTTCGATTACGATTTTTTCGTTCCTGATTATATCAAGATAATTATTTTTCGCATCGTTGCTTAATTGATTACCCGCTTTTGTATTTTAATAATTGGAAGAAAGAGAACACACAAGAATGTATATACTTTGAAAAATAAATGCATTATTATTTGAATAGGCTATATTGTACCCCTCCCTTCTTTGTAAGGATAAATACGCTTAGTTAAAGGGGTTATAATTTATATTTTTTTCAAAAAATGGTTTAATAAAATTTGTCGTTATTAACTTGCTTATTTCTCACCAAATAGGTGTATAAAATTATAGGTCAATTCAATTATTATATAATATCTCCCTATTAGTACTTACAAATTGAGTTTTCCTGGATAGATGGTGTAGATGCATCGTCGGATTTGAATTTCAATTCCTTGATTCTATAAGTAGTACACACTTTATCTAATTTCTCCTGACATTGAGACTTCTTCTTGTTTTTACCTTCAAATTGTTTCAAATGGTTTACATTTTCAAATTTGACGATTTCTTTCTTTAAAATTGACATACAATGCTCAGAAGGGTAGTCTATGATGTTTTTATCTATCATCATTTGCAAATATATAGCTTCTTCCTTTAACTCGTTCAAATAACTTTTTGGATTTCTTATTTCAGGTTCCATAAATTATAATAAGAATAAATTTATTTAAATGGAAAAAAATATAAATGTTAAAGAAGAATATTCTATAATCTATTTTGTTCGTATAAGAGATTATAATAAAAAATAAATATAATTGTTATTTATTCAAAATTTTATATTATTATCGCATCGGCTATTCGGAATATGCATATTCAATTGTGATAAAATATGACGCTAACAAATAATACCAGCCGGGACCTTAATTACTATAACTAAATTTTAAAAGAATTTTACGGAATTTTATAAGGGTTACTAAATGATAAACATCGACTAAAGATGAAGGTTGCCATACATGAAATTTATAAAAAATTTGAAAAATAGATTTTCACATTTATAATTTAGTCCGAAATTGATAGCTTTGGTCCATATTTTGAGTATCCAAGATAGAAGTCCTACATTGATCCTCTTTCTGATGTTAAGCTTATCCGATTTTTCCTAAGTCCTACTCCATGCCCAGACCTATTTTTGTTAAAGGTTTTTGAAAGATAATTAGTTACTGTTGCAAATAATATTCTTAAAAAAGGAAAAATCTAAACAAAAGTATTTGGTAAATATTATCTTTTAAAGATAACTAATCACATTCCAAGATATTTTGTGAATAATTTATATAACTAATCCTATTTAATATATTTTTTTTATTACTTATAAACTTTAATCAAAAAAATTTATATTCAAATTCAATTAAAGAAGAAAAAAAATAACACAACTGAAAAAAAATATACGATAATTTAAATTTATTTGTACTGACAGAAAAATATCACTTTAGTTTGTATCGAAAAAAATATATAAATAGTAAAAAAAAATCAATTTTTTATAAAATCGGGCTAAAAAATTTTCAATTTTAACAAAAATCAGTGTCTTAAATCTTGCTAGATTTCCTCCAAAAATAAGCCCTCTTGAACATTTTATGAAAACGTTAGATGCACATGAAACATAGAAAAACAGCAATTTTAAATTTGAATAATTATCATGTAAAACATAATGAATTAGATATAATAAATGCATAATCTTTATAAAACTAACATGAAAAGTAACTATTTACGTTTGTCGTTACATTCTCAAAAGTGTAATTTTTAAATTTTCTAAAATAGTAACACTAATCCAACTTTAATTAGATCCAAATGAGGCAGACTCGATTAATAAGATTGATATTGCTGACTTAGTAAAAATATTTTTAATGCACAAGACAAATATGATCTGGAGAATATATAAAATTAAAATTTGAAATTGAAATTGAACTTATATGAACCTTTATAGTTGGGTTAAGCTCTATTTTACGTCTAACAAAATAAGGTTAAACTGATTTTTAACCGAACACTATAACCTCGGCCTTGTTTAGAGTGAAAATATAATTAAACTTTAATGAAGTGAGAAATATATTAATTAGCTCCACTCCACGATGCTCTGATTTTCTTGGCATGCACATGTAGTTTGAGCTTAATTTGTCAATTTTTAGCCATTATCCAACCACCAATTATATAGAAAAATAACGATCATAAAAAAATTAGATAAGGATATTAGTTGATTTTCAAAGAATGCTAATTAACAAATAAAAATATTATAAGAAAAAAATATAAGAGCTAATTGATATTTCAGAATAGTCATCTCCTTTAGTCTCAATGATCAAAAAGAATGGCTATGCCTGAATTTGCTATGCATAGATTATAAATCCCCGGATAAATTAACCATATATTACCAGAGTTATTTATTTAATAAACTAAACTAGGGTTTATTAATTCTCGAAGAAACAATTTTTTCAATGCTCATCCATACTATTATACCCATGGTTCCTACTAATTTCACAAAATTCCCGCTTAGCATAGCACGTCATTCTCGATATTGGTCTAAATGGACGTAATAATCATCAGAGAGTAGGATAATATATAATATATATATAAGATGATTGCAAAGTACATATTTATAGGATAAGAAAATGATAGAAATATTTAGGGCAATCCTCTAATTAAAAATGAAATAAAATTTACAAAATATAACGGAATTAAAATTTCTTGATTTCAAAAACAAGATATCACATATTTATCAGAAAATATTAAAACGATTGCCACTATGTTAAAAGAATCGTTTATAATTTTAAGAATAAACTATGAATGGATCTAAATACTCCAAAAAAATTCGACTAAAATAATATACAGCCAAATTCATCAACTTTAACTTTTATGATTAAATAAGCGACATAAACATCACAGCCTCATCAAGTATTAATGGGTACATTTTTATGCCAAAAACAGCTGCCACTACCCGAAAAGTTATCGTACACAAAACAAAAAAATATCTATTGCAAGAAATACATTTTTATTATAAATATAATAAAAATTTAAGATTTAGTGAACTCGGACTTGGTCAGACCAATCTTAGTTTTAACCCTTTCGTTGATTCCAATGAGTGACATAGAGGATTATCTCAATAAAAATAATAAATTCGAAACTGCAAAACAATTAAAGATATAATCTATTGAACTTTATATTTGAGAATAGAGCCATTTAAATATGCGGCCAATACGAGACGGAAACAGCTCTTCCAAAAAACAACCAACTCAGATCCCAGACCCGTACAATAATCCAACGAGAATAGAAGAAGGAAAGTGTATGAAAAAAGGCAAGGAAAGGAAAAGAGAAAATTAAAAAAAGGAAAGAAAAAGCGAAAAATGAATATATAGAAAAGAAGGAAGAGGAGGAAAGAAAAAGAAATAGATAAAGGAAAAGGGAAGGAAAAAGGAGCTACACATGGTAAAAACTCAAAAGGAAAGAGTCTAGATTTTTTTTTATTCCTTAAAATATTGTTTGTATTCAACTTTTTAGGAGCCTATTTCTTTCACCCTAAAAGATATATGAAAAATAGGTCCAACACTTTAGTAAGCGTTATATATATTTTCTTTATTTTTGTGTAAGATATGATCTTTTAATTGTATCTTTAAATAAGTTTATTTTCCGTTTCATCAAGCTATTTTATTCAGACCAGTCCTATTGTAATATTACATCAATTTTTGATAGGCTAGATTTCATTTTAAATTAAGATTATAGCTAAAATAATATTATGTACGCCTTAAGATTTTGTTAATAGATCAAACTTATATGTCATCTATAAACAAAATATCCAGGCTTGCTTATTATTTTATGGCTATAATATGAGTTAGCCGTTTTGAAAAATCGACCTGTTATCAACACAAAATTTAAATATTTTTCGAATTTTAAGCATGCATGCATTTTTTAAATAATTTGCGAAAATTTTCAAATAATGTGAACGTTTTCATTATAATATTGGATTATGGCCTATACTAATATCAGGTAATAAATTTTTCCTTTTAAAATTCTCTTGTATAATTAATTTTTTAAACTTTAATAGATATATATTTACTAATTATAGTAACTATATAATTTCATTTTTCAATTTAATTAATGAAACTATTTTTAATATATATTGTTAAATGATTACATTACATTCAAATAATAATAAATTTAAAAAAAATGTATTTTGTGTCAATTGAAATGAATTAAATGGTTCAAGTATTTATCTGACATCTATTTATTTCGATTGATTTTTGAAATAACACCCATATCATATTTTTGCTTCAATATAATATTTATGCAAAACCAATTATAAAACTGATCTGATATTTACAGTGATTATTATTTACCATCTCCCCTTAACTAATCTGATAAAATAATATTTCTTATAAACAATACAAAGTTCTGAACTTCAAAACAAACATTGTTTATTGATGAATTTTGATAATTGTCATTAATATAAACAAGGTTTAACCATAAATCAAATGCATATAGACCAAAACCAGAATCTAGTCTAGAATGGGCCAAAATGGGATATTATTTTAAAAATAATCCAGACCAGGCTTAATATTTTTCAATCATGATTAGTCTTGTGATAAAAAAAATTTGGGCCAATCTTATTATTAAAATAATATTTATTAATCAGTGGGAAAGGGTAGAAAATCTTATAATGGCACATTTAATATGTCATCTTTGAATCAATCATAAAAATATTGCCAAAATTTATTCAAAATTTTGAAAAATCTAGAGAGAAAAAAATCCCTCCAAAATCAAGGAACATGTTTGAAAATGAAATATTTTAGTCAAATTTAGGAGTGGCATAAAATTTTGGCTTCTACAGGACCCTGCTGTAAATTTATAACCCAACAAAAAGAAACACCCTGAAATTCTCCTCTTATAGCATAAATCTTTTTCTGGGCATTATCATGAATGATTAAGTGTATTTTTTATATTTACAAAAGTTAATCATTGGGATATTTACGGCTGAATGTGATTGTTTTTAAATCTATTTCTTGTTGCAAATAATATCACATTTTAATGTGAATCTTTCTAGAAATTAATTTAATTTTTAAACATCAAAATAAATTGAATATTCATTACTTTTATTCATTTATTAATATTATTAGTATATCACGTAAGATATATCATCATATAAAAATATACTTTACAATAATAAAATAACCATAAACAATGATAATATGGAATCAGATCATTTTTTTAAAAAAAAATATTAATCCAATTTAAAAAATTGGTAAGTGTCAATTCCAATCTGATCTAATATTTAGAATAAATACAGCCCTGAAAGGTATGATAGTTTAACCATGAATTTATATTAAATGTTATTTATAATTACAAAAACAGTTGTGAAGACATGGTACCAGTCTCTTCATAACCATGCTTAAATTTTTAAGCAACTAACCCCCCCCCCCCACCAATAGTTATTTTTCACCCTCTTAAGAGTTTACCACTTATCTTACATATTTAATATTTATATTATATATTCCTTAAGATACAAGGTAGCATGGTATGATCAGCATATAGGATTTAGATTTAAAATTTGATAGCTAGTCTTATTTTTTTATGGGGTATATTTGGATCGGAAAAATTATCAATAAATTGAATAAATAAAGGTAAAAGGACCATATATGGTGTTGGCACAATTTTTATTTTATATCAACTGTAAATCCTCTTTCAAACATCATCTTTGTTTTAATATTATCAATAGTATAAAATTATTATTTCAAGGTTATTTTTGCAATATGTCAAAATCTTAAAATGAAAAGTATTAATCATTTTATTTTTATACATGTTTAAAAAAAATTGCATTAATTTTATAACAATCTTTTTATTTATACTGATAAGTTTGTCTATTATTTTAGGGTTTTATATTAATTTATTTTTGATTCAGTGAAAAATCAAATAAAATTTGATAAAATAAAAGCTGGCTAGATATGCGCTATGTTATACAGGTTGGGGCATTCCGGTCCATGGATTGGGCTGAGAAAAAAGATTTTTGGATTTGACCTGTTAAATTGTGCAAAATATTTTTATGCGCTGGGCTATAGTTTTATATATGTTTTCAAAGCTGATAATTAGACTAATCTAGATCGTTTTCCTTCATAAAAGAATTACCGCTCGTTTTGAGTCGATTTTTAAAAACGGCTTTTTCATCCAGAAAAATATTTAGCACGCTTGAAGATTTTGCTCATAGAAGGAACAAAGGTCTATACATATATTACCGAAATTTCCAGGCTAAGACAATATTTTTCTAGCTAAATTATTGAGTTAACCGTTTTAAAAAATCGGCTCAAAACAAGCCGTTTAATAACACTATAAGGGCCAGGCCAATTATCTTAAGTACAAAATATGTATTACAGACCTGGCGAGGTAAAAATAATTATGGACCAAGAAAACTGCTGAAAAATTTTGGCACACCAACTTCTACTTAGATATGACTGGGTTAATAAATAAAAAAAAACAGTTTTGGGTTTGTTTTTGATATTTTTTTGGTTTTAAATTATTAAAAATATGTCCTTTTTTTAACCTTCATTTAATTCAAAAACTAGTGATGTTATACGGCTCGATTTAGTAGATTTTAAATTAAGATTTTAGTTAAAATAATATTATTCAAACCTCGATATTTCGTTAATAGATGTCCAAACCTTTCTCCCATCTATGAGCGAAATCTCTAGGCTTGCATAATATTTTTTTTGCTATAATATTTAGCGGTTTTTAAAAATTTAACAATTTCAATAACACTATCAAAAACTTCTATATTAAAAAATAGTGATAATATGTAGGATAATACCACATTTTTCTGCCCATTCCGATATGAAACTTTAATATTTTTGTATGAAAAAAATCACCCAATTCTGGATACTACAGATCCTTTATCCTTTTTTTAGTGTTTAACTTATTTTATATTTAAATTATTATTTTAATTGCTTGTTTAGTTCATTATGAAGGAATTTTTTTTTAAATTAAAATCATATAACATTTGATTTTATATATATAATATATATTATGTCATTGAAGTTTTTAACAAATTCTTGGATATATATTTTTTTTTATTTAGCAAATTAAAAATCTAAATTATTTGTCGCCAATTATTTCGAAATCCTATTTCAGCATATATAGAAAAGTTACCTATGAATTTTAGACGATATCCCTATGAACTTGGGCTTATTTTAATATTTTGTGACAAAATTGTTTTAAATTTATAAAATATAAGTGCCGAGGTGTTGAGAATCAAACTGGAATTTCCGCGCACAAAAAGATACCTGTTCGCAATTTTCAAAAATATTTTTAAGGATAAACATTTTTAGAATTACCTCCCACCCCTCAACTCCACCCTCTTTTTGTACGCCTTTAAATAAATTTTCTAAAATTGGGGTATTTTTGTACAGGACATTTTTATTTGTGATTAGAATTAAAAGAAATATATCACAAATTAAGAGTAAACCCAATGGTTTACAGCAAAATTGTCTTAAATCCGCAGAATATGTATAACTACTCTATACATGCTAGAATGTGATTTCGGTTAAATTATACTCTTAAAATTTACCAAAAACACACCCTATAAATGGTTTAAAAATATTTATTTTTTAATAGAATCGTTAAAACCTCTACGCGACACAATACACAAATATTAAGAAATTATGAACTTTACTTTCTTTCTTTCATTCTTTCTTGGAAAGTTTTTAAGAATCAAATTATAATTTCATAAAATTCATTATATTTTGTAAATTGGTAAAAATAGAGTTTATTTCATAAATCTATGATTATAAAAATAAATATCGAATCTTTAAAATAGTTTCGTCATTTTTTTTTTAAAATTCCACCTAAAATCCAGTTTTTAAATTTCAAAAATAGTGTTGTGTTACCCCTCATTCACAGTTACCGTGAATTCGCAATACACAAAATATGCTTTTATTTTTTTGTATTCTTAGTTGCGAATTCGCGCGCTATGATTGAGGGGTTAAACAGAGTTCGATTTAGTTTATTTTAAAATTATGATTTTAGCCACGAACCTCGATATTTCTATAATAGATGTCCAAACCTTTCTACCCATCTATGAGCAAAATCTCCAGATTTGTATTAAATATTTTTGTTAAAATATTGGGTTAGCCGTTTTAACAACACTAATTAAAAAGGCTTGTTTTTAAATTATATTTTTATTTCGTCATTTTTAAAATTTCCAACTTTTTAAAAAATTATATAAAAATTCAAAAAAATAAAAGGTTGTTTTAAAGTTTATATATAAAATCAGTGATTTAAATTACATTCTGCTTCCCTTTAAAGGTAACTAATATACTCTTAATTATTAACTAGTAAAATACGAATTGAATATTTGTTGGAATCGAATATCAAATATCGAATAATTCGCTTTGAGGCATATTCTAATTATGACTAAATTTTAAAGATTTTCAGAAACCTGCAGAGGTACCATTTGCCATGCCCGACTCGGCCCAAATTTATTTTAAAAAATCTTTCGACCCGATCCTTAGCTCCGCTACGGAAATATTATTTATAATTAATATCGATATTAGCAATATAAAGTATTCGGTTCGGAAAATTATACGGATTTCCCCGTCTACCCGGGCTTAGATGCGGGCTTGCAGGTCTCTCATGATTTTTAATAATTGTGCCTGGTTCGAATGAAGTATTTGTTGAAGTTAGATTGACAATTTAGCCTTTATGAAAAAAAATTTTTATTTTGTAAATTCAAAAATAATATAAATTATTTGCAAATCACGAAAAAGATTAAAGATAACGTTATATTAAATTAATTACAATTTTATTCGTAAAAGAATATTTAAAAAAAAATTATTATTTTTTTATCCATTGAATGTAATTAATTAGTAAAGCAGAAAATTTAAAAACCTTTTTCTCTTTTACAGATTAAAATTCTTTGTTCCTTATTATAAAATAAAATATATGTATTAATTAGTTTCATTTCATATATGAGCCTCGACTTATTTTGATTTAATTATTATATCACCTTCGAACAAATTAGTATTAGATAGTAAATTAAAGTATTTTATTTTAGGGCTTTGACCGTAATATCAAAAATTTTGATTCGTAAACTTTTGAAACCTATCAGAAAGTAAGAAATAAGCTTCTTTTATATCAGAGACCTGCAGGTCCCCGGGCCAACCCTAAATTTTCTTTTTTAATATCCGGGCCAGGCTATATATTTTAAATCAAAATAAATGTAATATAATCAAAAAAGATTCGAGCCGCCCCTAAAAAAAATTTAAAAAAAATCCGGGCCGGCCTGAAGAACCCGGGCCGTGCCTGAAGATTTAAAATCCGGACCGGACAAAAAAATTGGGCAGGGCCAGACCGTACAAATGTTACTTCTGCAGGTCTCGGATTTATATATAATAAAAATAAAAACAACTTCCAAAAATATAATTACGAAAAAATTAACATACGATTTCATTAAAACTTCTAAATAAAACTTTACGAATTTTTTTTTAAAAAAAATAAATTTTTGAGTTTTCAAGCAATTTATTCCAGGAATTAAATCTATTTTTAAATCTTTTTTGGGGGAGTTATTTCTAAAAAAGTTGGGGGCTTTTAATAACCTTAATTTAAAGAATAAACCTTTATATTTTTTGACCCATCACAATTACGACTTTTGAAATGGGACGATGTCTATTTTGAAGAATTATCGATACCTAGTCGGGTCAGACCTAGATTTTAAGATTTTTATTCAGGTTGTGGGGATCTTAGCTGACTTAACGCGGCTGTCATCTCCACTTTTTAGGTTCAAAATCGATTTAGGGGTTTTTTTGAAAAAAACTAATATTCAATAAATAAATAAAATAAAAAACAAATATAATATTTAAATATATTTTTTTTTTAAATAAAAAGAATATATATATATAAAATATCGCCTTCATTGATTTTCAAAAAAATAAGCAATTATTTTATTTTTTTAATTACTAAAATAAAGTATTAAATCTCGAACGTGGACTATTAATTTTAGTAATAAAAATGACGTTTAATATGCGACACTTATAATGCAACCCAATCTAGCGCAACCAAACGATCTCAAAACATCGATGGTTAACGAAAAATCGGGTTATAACCCCATGAAGTCGATTCCCATATTAGTGACGGGAGAATCTTCCCCTACAAAGATACGGTCCGCCTCTATAAGCTCGGTGAGTACAGAGCTCGAGGACGACGCAATATTCAGGAAGCGATGGAAGAGCACGTACGGGTTCGTACTAGCCTGTATTCATTTGTCCCTGGGACTGGGTAACGTTTGGAGATTCCCTTATATCGCCTATCGACACGGTGGAGGTATATATTAAAATTAAATACTCGCGAAATATTATTTTTAAAATTAATACACCTGAACACGTTTTGTGTTGCGAATAGACCCCCCCCCCCCACAAAAAAAATAGAAGAAGTAGTATTCTAATTATTTGGTTTATATTTGTCTTATAAAAAAACAAATTATACACCCGCTTCTTAATCAACAAAATTCGAAGCTCGTAACGTCTCTTGTAATATCGTTTACATTTCTCTTTTCGAATGATTTAAATCGAACAAAATAATTCGAATAGAATCATTCAAAAACGAGTCGGTTATTATGTGTTTTTAGATTCGGCTAAATGTTTAAAGAGAATCGAATATCTACATTACTCGATTTTTGATTTTATCAGGTCAAGTCTAGTAAAAGGTAACTTGTTAGCGTTATTTTAGAAAAGCTTAATAGCCGTTTAAATAAAAAGAGGTCAACATAAGGCATAAATAACCATTAATTAAAGAAAATATAATTCGCTACTTTTTTTAAAAAAAAATGGCACCGTACAAGCATTTTCATATTATTTTATAATAGTGCGCGCGCACAAATTGAGCGTTTCAAAAATAATGCATTTCAAATGGCCTCGTGTAAATTGGTAAAATTACCGTTTGGCGTTAGCAACCATTTTAAAAACGCAAATAAGTTTGTGTTTTCATTACTTATTTTATTCTTCTCTTTGTAATATTATATAAAATGTAATATAAACAACTTACTTATATTCTAAAAAGGAATATTTAGAAATTAAATTTTCAAAGACAAATCCTTTTTAGAACTTATTTAAAATTTTGAATCGACGATGGCAACCTCAATACAAACAAGAGACGCGTTACGTTTTTTTTTATTAAAAAATTATGGCAAACCGTAAACGCTCAATTTGTGTGCACTATAACTCATTATTATAATTTATTATTAAATATCTTTTCTTTTTGATTGGTGAATTTCTGAATAAGAAATTATTTCGCGGAGTTTACTTTTGAAGTCGTTTACTCCAAATATAATGTCCTATTTACAAATTCACGATAAAAACATGATTAAAATATTTATTCCATTTTTAAAAAAAAAATATAATATTGAACAAGTAAATCATTTCAGGTTTCATTATGATACTTTATAAAGAGTGAATTTTTTTATTATTAGTGATTAAGATCTGGGGTCCGCAAGATAAATGAATCAAAAAAAAAGAAAGAAAGTAAGAAAGAAAAAAAGATGATATCTACTTTTTTATTTATTTTCTTAAAAATAAGGTTCATTCGTAATCGCTTACCTAATAATCACGGTGATAATAATAATACCATTGTTTTTCCTCGAAACCTCTCTGGGGCAATTTTCGAGTCGCGGTCCGCTGGCAATATGGGTTATTTCTCCCGCTTTCAAGGGTAATAAATATATGTAAATTCTCATCTCACCAAAAAATAAGATTTGTTAAAGATATTTCGAAAAATTATTTTTAAATGACGAAATTTTTAAAAATCAGGATCGGGTTTAAAAATAAAAACCCGGACCGGACCGGGTTTAAAACCGGGCATGGCCTAAAAATTTGATTTATACACAGGGCTCTCTTGTATTATATTACCTGAAATAAAAGGGTTTATTTTTTTTTATAGAGAGATTTAATCTATTTTAAAATTTTATACAAAGTATTAATGATTCATTAACTAGGCTATTCCAATCTCATTTTTAAATCAAAAAATATTATATTTATAATTTATATAAATTAATAAATAAAAATAGTTATACAAATTAATCAGATTATAAATATCGTATTTCATTATTTTTCGTTGATAGTAATCATTTTTTAAAAATATATTTCTTAAATTTATTATAGATTATTATAATTTTATTTATTTTATTTATTTGAATTATTCATGTTTATTGAAGGCAAAAGGTCCTTATTCAGTAGAAGTTTGGGGCGGGGCCTTTGCTTTTACCGCTGTTTTTAAAGATCTTTTCTTCTTCATGGAAAACTGATTCGGTCTTTTTCCGTTTTAACCGGATATTTATTTATTCGTGTATGGCCAACAAAGATCCTTCAGTCGAAGATTCTGGTGGCGCTGGAAAAATTTCTTAGAAAACTGATTTGATCTTTGTTTTCATTTCTAACCGAAAGTATAAGATATTACGTTGAGTCTCGATTTTTTTAAACATTTTAGGGGGTAGAAGAAGGAACGGCTAAGTTAGAAATCATCTGCAAGTTAGATCGCGGCTGATTCTAATTTTCTTGTGTTGATCTGGATTGGGCCGAATTTTTTAGGCCCCAGAAATTTTTTTATTGAAAATATATAAATTAAACAATTTTTTTTTTAAATATAATAAAAATCACAAAATCGCGTCTTACCTAAGAGAATTACCCCTCTTTTTTACGCGATTGCGAGCCGGGAGATATTCTATATAAATTATCATTTAATATCTGTAATACCAAAAATGCCCAAAATTTTTTTTTAGAAAAAAAAAATTCGAAAAGTTTTTAAACTTTTGCAAATTTTACTGGATTGGGCCGAATTTTTTAGGCCCCAGAAATTTTTTTATTGAAAATATATAAATTAAACAATTTTTTTTTTAAATATAATAAAAATCACAAAATCGCGTCTTACCTAAGAGAATTACCCCTCTTTTTTACGCGATTGCGAGCCGGGAGATATTCTATATAAATTATCATTTAATATCTGTAATACCAAAAATGTCATCATCTGGCTATGCCCAAAATTTTTTTTTAGAAAAAAAAAATTCGAAAAGTTTTTAAACTTTTGCAAATTTTACTAAAATCGCTTATTTTATATTTTTGAAATTGATAAAAATTTTCTAAAATTATATTTTGGACATGTGATTTTTTTTTTAATTAAAGTTTCGAAAGTTTTTGAATTTAATTTTTTGATATTTTGGACACAAACTTTAGTAAATTTAAGGGCGAACCCTGTCCGATTTTTTTTTTTCAAATCCTGATTCTTTCGTCTATCTAAATGTTTTTCATGGGGTTTTCCTCTATAAATACACTTATTTTTATTATTATCTAAAACCAGGGTTACGTATTTAACCAGCAAATACGATTCGGTCAATTGACTGTTGACCTGATAAATATGGTCAAATTTGGTCGAATTCTAATAAATGTTTTTTAAGACTATTTTGTATATAATAATAAAAATAATCTATTTTTTAAATTCATTGCCATTCAATAACTAATGTTTCGCTCTCCGTGGCAGAGTCTTGTTCTGATTCATATTCAATATATTATCATTTTCTTTACATGTTTCCTGTTGTCGGGATCTTCAATCGATTTCTATTTTAGTAAGAATATTAAACCAAATCGACCAAATTCTTTCTAAAGAAGAAGCAGAAATAGGAATTGTTTGTAAAATGCGACTTCTATTAATGATATTCGCAGTTATTATTCTTGAAACAAATCGAATATTTAATTCATTTTTGAATCTTTTGAAATTAATATTCATACTGTTCTTTTTGGTCGATTTTTTAAAACGGCCCGATTAAGATTTATTCTAAAAGAATATTATGTAAGCCTGGAGATTTTGCTTATAGATGGGAAAAAGGTTTGGACTTTGAATTCTCTAGGCTTAATATAATATTATTTTGGCTAAAATCTTAATCGGGAAGTTTAACAATATTAGCTACCACAAAAGCTAAATTAAACTTTTATTAAAATATTTTAAAAATATTTAGTTTCATAATTTTAATACAATGAGAAATCACTTACTTTTAATACCTTTATTTTTTAAGGTGTTTTATTAACATCTCATATTAATGTAATTACATACCTTCATGAGTCAAGGTTATTAAAATAAAGATAAAATATTTAAATTTAGCCCATCCCCTAAAAATGTTAAAAAAGATTCTTACTTTTGGCTTGATAATATCTTAACCACTAAACTTAAATTTCTATCCTTCCCTTCAAACCCTATCTGACAATTATAAATTTTTATTGCCTTTTTTTAAAAATATTAGTAATTTTTAGCTATAATTGTTTTTTTTTAATAATTATGTTTAATTTTTTGCAATTATAAAATATATTTTTATATAATTATTGTATGCATTAAAAATTATTTTTTTTTAGGAAAATCTTTATAATGAGGGTAATCAAAATATAATTGCAGGGGAGGGGGAACTCTAAACATTATGAAAATATTGTTAATAATTTAATATCCCATATAATGAATTAACAAAAAAAGAGGTTTATATATTGTCACTTTAGGCCATTACAATTTATCTAAAATATATCAAAAATATCAAATTGATATAAATTTCCATAATTTGCGAGCTACAGGAAAAGAAAAAAAAATGATGTATATATTATCAAAAAATTTGATACTCTCTTATATATATGCATAGTTGTAAATTATAAATGTTATTTTTTTTAAAATGTATATTTGCTCAAAAAGAAAAAAAATGCTAAAAAATTTTGATTTCGATTTTTTTGGGAATTCTTAAACAGGACCTTTGATCAAAAAAATTTTTTTGCATAAAAAATCTTTCATGATGAAATCTTTTTGATCTTCTTCTAATAAAAAAAAAGCCCTTAATCTTGAAGGTTTTGGCTCACATTTTGAGCGAAAAATATCTTCAAATGCTCGTTTGAATATTTTTGTTAAATCCAAATTATTTGAAATTAATTGCAATATAAACTTGCTCAAAAATTATAAAATATTTTTTTTTGGAAACGATAGTTTTATTTATTTTTTTCAACTCGCGATTTTTTGGCCCGCTTATCTTTTGACATTGTGGTGCGAACGCTAGAACACATTGTTATAGGCCTTAGCTCTTAGTATTTATTAAAATATACACATATATTAATATCTTAATTGTTTCGAAAACTTTTTTTGTATCCTTCATAAAAAAAAATTATCATAATCTATTTCGCTTACCCTGCATTCACAGTTAGCACGAATTCGCAGCGTAGTTTACAAAATATGCTGTATTCTTGTATTCTATCGCGAATTTGCGTTATCTGTGAATGGGTTAGTTAAAGGAATTCTTAGCTATTCACGAAATCTATCTCATGAGTTTTTGTAACTGCTATACATATTTTCTCTTTTAATAGCTAGTTTTAATATAATTGTATTTTTGGGACTGACACGAATAATAACTGTATCTAGCGTAAACGTGTTTGTGATAACGATTTGTTTTATATCTTTCATAGGCTTCGTGAGGGGAGGGGAGGGGGTGTACTCCTTTCAGAAATTCACATGTAAATACCATTTCAAGCTAATTAAGTTTTCACCTACAACCCCCTCCCCCTTCACCTCTCCGAAATCCAGGGAAAAAATGGGAATAAAAAGTTACTGGGAAAAAACGAATAAAAGCTAAAAAAAATATATATATACTGTAGGAAAATAAATCTGTTTATCTTTTTAAAGTCAAGAATTTATATATTTTAATAATACTGTCTCCATGTTTACATATTCTATGAACACAAATAAATATGCTTAGGCACAGCTCATAAAAGTTGTTTTTACATGTCATATGGCCATCCCTGCAGTTCACAACATTTTGAGGAAAAAAATACGAATTTGCCCTACGCTGCATTTCTAGCAAGCGCCATTCGCTCAAGCGATGCAAAATATTTCGCTACGAAATTTACATAATCAAGTCAATAAATATATAATTCATAAATCCTGAGTGAAGTAATTAAATCGTTTTAAAAACATATGTTGTGATGATAAACGAATCAGTCGATTTCATTTCGCATCATTCGAGCGAATCTTCCGCTTAGTAGCTTTATTCGAGGTTTAAATAAAATTGAGAAATTCCAGGTCGGTCCGAAAAATATATTTTTGCAGAAATGGCCCGAGCGCGTCTATTTTTTTAAACCTAATAAGCTGGTCTGGCTTTCGGTCGGGGCTAAACCGTGCATTTAGCCAAATTAATATCTTCCAAATTTAGGTTTAAATACCTACGCGTATTTTAGCAATTAAAACGCGTTATTAACCATCGACGATGATCGCGAATTTTTTTTTGAGTAAGGAACACTAGGGTCATATGGTTGGCATTTCGCTTCCTTTTCTTAAAAACGATATTTGTTTTTTTAATAAGAAGGCAAGATAATGAATATTTTTTTAAACAAATTTGTATATAAAAGAAACCATTTTTTAAAAATACTGCCACAATTTAACATAATTATACGTTTTATAGAAAAACGCTAAACGCTTGCGACAGTTTTTAAAAATATATGTAGACCCGCCTAAACAAATATTTTTTTAAAATTTATCGCTTTAAATTTATTGGTGGCCATTATAAATTTGTAACAAAAATATTATTCATTTTAAATTTTATCGCTTCAAACATATTGGTGGCCATTTTTAATTTGTAAAAAAATTATTCATTATAGATTTTATCGCTTCAAATATATTAGCTGATATTTTAGATTTGCAAAAAAAATTAATATGCTACATCTCAGAATCAAATTAATTTTAAGCTTTTATATTTTAAATATATATGAAATAAACTATATTTTAGTTATTGTAAGTATTACTTTAACATTTAATTATTTTTTAAAAATTTTATGCCAGTTTTTCCAAAGGTGTCAGATCAAAATTCGTAATACTGGCCACATGCATTGCATGCCATGATCACATTTACTTTTTTTATATTTTTGCTTTTCTATAAAAATTATTAATCTTCTATTGCTTTATAATAATCTTTATCCACAATTAGTCCTGAATGCAGGGTAATACAGACAAATGCATTAATTTTATCACGATTAATTAAAGTAGCTAAAAAAAAGATGCTTGCATTTTATTTCATTCTATATTTAGATTTATTCTCATTATTCATACAGGGATTGGATATGCCATGTTAACCATATCGACCCTAGCAGCCATGTACTTCAACATGATAAATTCGTACAGCATTTTGTTTACGTTCGCATCGCTGCAAGAGAAGCTTCCCTGGGAACATTGCAACAATTGGTGGAATACCAATGGTCTCTCATCACGTGATTTGTCATATTCATTTAAAAAATCGGTTAGACCATCACTCCTTTAAAATGACCTAACGACCATCCCCCCTTTCCTTCTTCCCATTTCAGAAATTTTGGGGTTTATAATGTTAATCACATATTTCGATTTTATATTTTGCTGGTGGTTTAAGGAAAAAAATTTTTAACTTTTAAGTGACAGGTATATTTTTTTTATAAATCTTGCTTGATAACGTTTTAGTTTAACTCTCATTTTTTTTAATCTTTGCATATCAATCCTTTTTTATAATGCAAATATTCATTTATTTATTCAAGTCGCCATCTTTGATGATAAAGAAAAACTTTATCCTATTTAACTAAAGATTATTTCTAAATTTTTGAACAACTCTATCACACGAATGCTATATGTAACACCTTTTTTTACTAATAGAATTGTGATTTTTGGAATATGACTTGATAGTCAATTATCAGGGATTGAAACTTTTTAAAAAAATTTACAGGGGTTCAAGTTGAGATTTTCGAAAGTATTTAGCTTCGGTTCCCTTTAAATTATATATATTTTTTTTATTTTATTAATCGCATTGATTAGATTCGAACTCGTTTTAAAAATTAAGATGTAACCATTTTGTGAGACATCTCGGTTCCTATCCCCTTTTCAAAGTACCCTTAGTCCAGGTTGGATTTCTCAGTACGGCATTTTTTTAAAAAAAAGTTTTAAAAGGAAGCTTAAAAAATATGAGCTAGGCTAATTTTTTTTTCTCTTTAGCTTTTACCTTTTCTGGTGATAAGCACCTTCAACATCTCTCTCCACTTTATGTTATTAATACAATCTCTTTTATCTAATTTATACTTCTTTATATTGGCTCTAACTTTATGGCCCCATTGAAGTTTTGGCCTTCCTCTTTTACGTTTGCCCATCACTTCCAAACTCAACTTTATTTTTTATGAAGTTCATAGGCCTTCTCATTGTGTGCCCATACCACCTAAGTCTGTTTACCATTAACTTAGTCTTAATGGGCACTACCTTTAAACTACTTAGTATTCTTGTACTGCGCACTTTATCCTTTCTTGTTACCCCAGCAATCTCATCTCCATGGTTTGTAGACTTCTCTCGTCTGATTCTTTGGTTGGCCATGTTTCCGAACTATATAGAATAGTTGGTTGTATTATGGAACTGTAAATTTTTCCCTTTAATTTGTGTGGGATTCTTTTATCAAATAGCCATCCAGATATAGATCTCCACTTTAGCCACCCTTGATTAATCTTACTCTTTATCTCTTTTTCTATTGTGCCGTTTGTTTGTATAGTGGAGCCCAAATATTTGCAGCTTTCAATTGCCGATATCTGCCATTCATTTATATCAATACTCTCTGTTTCATCTCCTCCTATCACCATATACTCCGTCTTTTCTCTATTTACTTTTAATCCGTGCGTTTCTAGGATATTTATCCAACTCACTAGTCTTTCTTTCATTTCATCCTTAGATTCGGCAAGTATCACAATATCATCTGCAAATATCATATTCCACAGGACTGTTTGAGGTATAAACTGTGCTAATACATCTATTACTGTAATGAAGAGAAGTGGGCTGAGAGCCAACCCTTGATGAACTCCTTCGGCTATTGTGAAGCCTGCTGAAGTACCTGTTGTGCTACGGACCATTGTTGTATGGCCCATATACATATCCTGTATTATTCTTATATATTTTTCGGGAACATTTTTGTGGCGTAGCGCCCACCAGATAAGTTTTCTTGGGATTCTATCAAAGGCTTTTTCTAGATCGAGAAAGACCATGTGTAGCTTTTTGTTCTTTCCCCTATATTTTTCACTCATTTGCCTAATTGCGTGGATAGCATCGGTTGTTGATCTTCCAGGCATAAAGCCAAACTGAGTCTCTCCTATTTCGATTATATCTCTTAATCTTTTTTCTATTATTTTTTCGTATAGTTTTAGACAGTGTGACATTAGTTTTATGCCCCTGTAATTTTGACAATTATGTGGATCCCCTTTATTTTTGAAGATAAGAACTAGATAGCTCTGCCTCCATTTTTGGGGAACCTCTTCATTTCCAAGTATCTTATTGTATAGATTTGTGAGGAGATGTATTCCATCATCTCCTAGTGCTTTAAGGCTTTCTATTGGAATATCGTCTGGACCCCTAGCTTTGTTGTTTTTCATATGCTTGAGGCATGTGATTATTTCTTGTTGTGTTATAGGTTGTACAAGGTTTTGACAAGGGGAGTGTTCGTCTAGATGCAGTATGTGCGGATTAAAGTTGAGAAGCTCCTGAAAATATTCTCTCCATCTACTCATTATTTCTTTTTCCTTTATTATCAATTTCCCATCTTTATTTTTGATTACTTTCGGGCTCCGTTTATATCCCTAGAGTTCTTTTCTCACTGTTTGGCTAATCTGTATATTTTATTTTGCCCTTCTTTGGTATGTAGATCTTCATACATGTCATCGTATGCCATAGATTTGGCTCTAGCCACCGCCTTTGTAGCTAATCTCTTGGATTTTTTGTATCTTGTCTTGTCATCTGCGTTTTTGGATTTGTACCATATTTCATAAAGGGCTTTTTTCTCCTGTATAGTGGTTTGTACCTCTTCATTCCACCACCATAGTTCTTTGTATGATTTGTTGCCTCCTCTTGTCAAGCCTAGTGTCGATTTGGCAGTGTCTATTAATCTGGATGAAAGGTCTGTCCACATTTTTTCACTGACTTGTGAGGAATCTATTGTTTCAATGTTTGCATTGATTGCAAAGGCATCTGTCATTGTTTTTAATTTGCCCCATTTGATGCATGATTCCAGTTTTATCTTGTTTTGAGTGGATTTATTTGAGATGTGTAAATCCATGACTAGTAGCTTGTGTTGTGCGGCGATATCTTCTCCTGGGATGACTTTGCAGTCTATTACATCTTTTAATCTTCTGCGAGAGATTAGTATGTAATCTATCTGTGTTTTCCTTGTACCACTTTCGTATGTTATTAAATGACTATCCTTTTTCCTATAGTAGGTGTTGGTTAAGGCAAGGTCGAAGGCTTGCGCAAATTTCAGTATATGCTCTCCTTCATCATTTCTTTCTCCATATCCAAAACCACCATGATGCCTTTTGTAGCTATCTCTTGCTTTCCCCACATGCGCATTTAAGTCACCACCAATTATGACTAAGTCATCCTTAGGGATTACCATTACAGCTTCATCAAGGATAGCTCTAAAATCATCTTTCTCTTCTTCCTTGCAACCCGTTTGAGGAGCATATAATGAAAGGATGTGTAGTATTGATTTACCATATGCAGAGTTTTATCTTCATTAGTCTATCAGAGATCCTGTTGCGACTTGCTATAACTGAGTGAGGTGTACGATCTTGGAAACATGAGGATGATGCCAGGACACCGGTTCCTATCCTGCTAACAAGTCCATTATAGCTATCAATTTATACCTCGATGCTCCAATGCATCAAAGTCTTCTGGTCCTGTTCCATTTCGGCTCTTATAGATGACACGCTAGTCATCAACTTGTCTCTTGCTCAACATTGATGCCATTGATACTCTCGTCTTACCTAATTAAGCTTCCCAATATTCAAACTTGCTAATCTTGTATTTCTTTGCTTTAACCTTTACTTTACTTTACTTTTCACAGGATGGAGGTCTCCACCCTGCGCAAAGTGGCTTGGAGGGTAACGCCCTATCTTTCAAGATTAGCATAGTTTCGAATATTGTTATTCTTCATTTTGTTTATTGGACGAGAGTATCCTTAGCACCCGTGCTGTGCCAGAGCCTAGTCGGTGACCGGGGTGTCATCTCTAAGCTCCGAAATTCATCATGACCATATGTTTTTACACGATCAGTCATCGAAGAATAAACTTGAAAGCTTTTATGGACTTCTTACCAGGATTGGAACCGGCGTCCTTGTATCATATTCGTGTTTCCAAGATCGTACATCTTACCCAGTTATGGCCACCCGTCAACAGGATCTCTGATAGACTAATGAAGATAAAACTCTGCAATGGTCAATCAATACTACACATCCTTTCATTATATGCTCCTCAAACGGGTTGCAAGGAAGAAGAGAAAGATGATTTTAGAGCTATCCTTGATGAAGCTGTAATGGTAATCCCTAAGGATGACTTAGTCATAATTGGTGGTGACTTAAATGCGCATGTGGGGAAAGCAAGAGATAGCTACAAAAGGCATCATGGTGGTTTTGGATATGGAGAAAGAAATGATGAAGGAGAGCATATACTGAAATTTGCGCAAGCCTTCGACCTTGCCTTAACCAACACCTACTATAGGAAAAAGGATAGTCATTTAATAACATACGAAAGTGGTACAAGGAAAACACAGATAGATTACATACTAATCTCTCGCAGAAGATTAAAAGATGTAATAGACTGCAAAGTCATCCCAGGAGAAGATATCGCCGCACAACACAAGCTACTAGTCATGGATTTACACATCTCAAATAAATCCACTCAAAACAAGATAAAACTGGAATCATGCATCAAATGGGGCAAATTAAAAACAATGACAGATGCCTTTGCAATCAATGCAAACATTGAAACAATAGATTCCTCACAAGTCAGTGAAAAAATGTGGACAGACCTTTCATCCAGATTAATAGACACTGCCAAATCGACACTAGGCTTGACAAGAGGAGGCAACAAATCATACAAAGAACTATGGTGGTGGAATGAAGAGGTACAAACCACTATACAGGAGAAAAAAGCCCTTTATGAAATATGGTACAAATCCAAAAACGCAGATGACAAGACAAGATACAAAAAATCCAAGAGATTAGCTACAAAGGCGGTGGCTAGAGCCAAATCTATGGCATACGATGACATGTAAGAAGATCTACATACCAAAGAAGGGCAAAATAAAATATACAGATTAGCCAAACAGTGAGAAAAGAACTCTAGGGATATAAACGGAGCCCGAAAGTAATCAAAAATAAAGATGGGAAATTGATAATAAAGGAAAAAGAAATAATGAGTAGATGGAGAGAATATTTTCAGGAGCTTCTCAACTTTAATCCGCACATACTGCATCTAGACGAACACTCCCCTTGTCAAAACCTTGTACAACCTATAACACAACAAGAAATAATCACATGCCTCAAGCATATGAAAAACAACAAAGCTAGGGGTCCAGACGATATTCCAATAGAAAGCCTTAAAGCACTAGGAGATGATGGAATACATCTCCTCACAAATCTATACAATAAGATACTTGGAAATGAAGAGGTTCCCCAAAAATGGAGGCAGAGCTATCTAGTTCTTATCTTCAAAAATAAAGGGTATCCACATAATTGTCAAAATTACAGGGGCATAAAACTAATGTCACACTGTCTAAAACTATACGAAAAAATAATAGAAAAAAGATTAAGAGATATAATCGAAATAGGAGAGACTCAGTTTGGCTTTATGCCTGGAAGATCAACAACCGATGCTATCCACGCAATTAGGCAAATGAGTGAAAAATATAGGGGAAAGAACAAAAAGCTACACATGGTCTTTCTCGATCTAGAAAAAGCCTTTGATAGAATCCCAAGAAAACTTATCTGGTGGGCGCTACGCCACAAAAATGTTCCCGAAAAATATATAAGAATAATACAGGATATGTATATGGGCCATACAACAATGGTCCGTAGCACAACAGGTACTTCAGCAGGCTTCACAATAGCCGAAGGAGTTCATCAAGGGTTGGCTCTCAGCCCACTTCTCTTCATTACAGTAATAGATGTATTAGCACAGTTTATACCTCAAACAGTCCCGTGGAATATGATATTTGCAGATGATATTGTGATACTTGCCGAATCTAAGGATGAAATGAAAGAAAGACTAGTGAGTTGGATAAATATCCTAGAAACGCACGGATTAAAAGTAAATAGAGAAAAGACGGAGTATATGGTGATAGGAGGAGATGAAACAGAGAGTATTGATATAAATGAATGGCAGATATCGGCAATTGAAAGCTGCAAATATTTGGGCTCCACTATACAAACAAACGGCACAATAGAAAAAGAGATAAAGAGTAAGATTAATCAAGGGTGGCTAAAGTGGAGATCTTTATCTGGAGGGCTATTTGATAAAAGAATCCCACACAAATTAAAGGGAAAAATTTACAGTTCCATAATACAACCAACTATTCTATATAGTTCGGAAACATGGCCAACCAAAGAATCAGACGAGAGAAGTCTACAAACCATGGAGATGAGATTGCTGGGGTAACAAGAAAGGATAAAGTGCGCAGTACAAGAATACTAAGTAGTTTAAAGGTAGTGCCCATTAAGACTAAGTTAATGGTAAACAGACTTAGGTGGTATGGGCACACAATGAGAAGGCCTATGAACTTCATAAAAAATAAAGTTGAGTTTGGAAGTGATGGGCAAACGTAAAAGAGGAAGGCCAAAACTTCAATGGGGCCATAAAGTTAGAGCCAATATAAAGAAGTATAAATTAGATAAAAGAGATTGTATTAATAACATAAAGTGGAGAGAGATGTTGAAGGAGCTTACCACCAAAAAAGGTGAAAGCTAAAGAGAGAAAAAAAAAATTAGATACTTTTTAAAGAAATTTACCATGTGATTTCTCAATTAGTTGATTGGTATATAATTTAATATCAATTTATTTCTATACACAAATATTAAGATGAAATTCCACTCGGCATCGGCTTGTTAATTTAGAGCAGGAATCCAAACCGAAACTGAACGGGAAACTAGTACTAGCCTTTATTATTTTGAACCTGAACCGTCGAAAAAATTTATCACCGACAGATGATTAATAATGATAAATCAATCAGTAGTTTTTTTTAGATATTTTTTTGTGTTGCTATTTGAAGAGTCAAGAGAATCTTATATTGCTTTTTTAGATAGCGATAACATTTCTTTAGATAATTATATAACGTTTGTATATGAAAAAGTTTAAACCGGGGTTTATAGATTCAAAACCGAACCGATATTTGTTACGATTTGGATTCCTATGTTTGGGATGGTCCGGATTTTAAAAACATATTATACGGACGAGGTTTTACACCCTCCATCTCCCTCCCCATTCCTTGTTTAAATTAGATTATAAATTAGTAAGAAGATAAACATGCTTAAGAATCATTTTTACGAAATTTTTGAAACGCGAAAGAAATTTAATTTTTCTTAAAATAAAATAAACTCAACCAAATGGGCAAATTATAAAATGATTTGGGATATTGAAAATTTAAGCTTTGGATTCGAACGATTCTCCTTTTAAAAACCCGTTTTTACCGGTTTTTTGGTATATAATTTATGCGAAATTAATAAAGAAAAAAATAATATTCGTGGAGTCGATAATTTCTATTTATATTTTGAAGATATACTTAAAAACATAGTTTTTGAAACCAGAAAAAATCTTTAAAACATAAACAATAATTTTTTTTTTTATTTTGATTTTAAATTTGTGATTTCAATCTTAAAATATTCTTTGCATAAAAATTATAAAAGATTTATTTATAGAATATTATTTTTTTAAAAAAAAGGATTTTTGCATTTTTTAGGTAAAATTTGATCAAAAATATTTGAAAAAAAAATTTTTCAAACTTGGCTAATAGATTTTAATATATTTTTTATTGAATTATATTATTCTACGTATAAAAGATTTCGTAAATATATATATATTTTTTTTAGAAACTCTGGTACAGGTAGTCGATCCCGGATAACATTTGCATATTAATAATTTAACGGGGGCCCGGAGCTAACTTAACCGATATACCAGAACAAATCTTAATAATTTTGTGAACCATAAGCGAACCATTATGCAAAACCAAATAGCTATAAGGAGCGAACCGAATCTTTATATTTTTTTAAAAAAAACCGCTTGGTTATGTTTTATATTATATAAATTATAACTTGGATCATGATAATTTTGATAACTTATAACTTCATTTTCCCCTGAGGAGCTTTTAATAATTTTATAAATGGATTATTTATTTATTTTTACAAATATTCCTGCTAAGTTTATTTTTTATCAGCTAGCCCGGGTACACAGGCCGGGCTTTATTTTAATTTGTTTTAAATATACCCGGGCCGGGCCATATATTTTAAATCGCCATTATTATCTATAAAAAATTTAAAATAAATAAAATATATTTTTAAAAAATTCAGGACGGGCCATGCAAATGGTACCTCTGCAGATCTCTGATTTTTATCATATTTATTTATAAAAAAAATTTTCATAGAAATAAATAATAAAACCTTAAAAAACATTTATAATTTTTGTTATAAAGCCGAATCGGAAAAGCACTAAACTGTAAGTTAAACGGAATCTATAAAAAATTGTGTCCCTGTTGACTAAACCAAATACATAAAGGTTTGGGTACCTGTATTTTTCCTATGCATTTAAATTTGGATTTAATTTTTTTAAAAATAGACTGCATTCCTTTGCGATTCGTTATATCTCAGACTTCCTTCAATACGACTTCCAATACTTTCGAAGCCTCGGTGCTGCACTCATCTTCCAAATTTCGTGATTTACTCCCTCCTAGGCCTTACAATTTTTCATCCGCTTCTCACATCATGGCGAACCCTTACGTAAATGACGACGGTTTCCTGAAAGACTGTTATCCTTCCTACCTCCCTACTAATCTCAGCGCGGTCAACAAAAGTTTAAGTAATACCTCGACCAATTCCATGCGCTCCAACAATAATTACATATTCACAGCGGGTTCCGGTAAAATTCGTTTGAAAGGTAGCGGTAATGGATCTTTGAGCCAATCGGAAATGGGCCTAATAAACGAAAACAATAGCGACTTTGGGTATAGCATGAGCCCCGTTCTAGCCACCGAACAATATCTAAAGTAAAATACAAAAAAATAACTTTTTATAAATTTTTTTTAAAAAATGATTCCCCAATATTTTTATAATAATGATTTCTGAAATTTATTCAGAATTTTTTTAAAAGGAACAGCCAGATTATAACTTAATATGTCTCATTATAGCACAGAATTTATATATATATCAAACATGGTAAATACCTTTCCTAATTAAATCAAGAGTTTTCCTGGGAGAAAATCTAGGGAAGCAGTTACGTTTAAGCTGGCAATTGGCGTTGGGATCGCTCTTTATATGGATAATAGTTTTTGCGGTGCTAATCAAAGGCCACAAATTTTCTGGAAAGGTAGAAAATTTTATCATTTATGATATTCTTAAAATCAGTCTTCATTTTTCAAAAAAAAATTCTGAATAAATATTTTTAAATCAAAAATTTTACAAGTTGGGCAAAGAGAAGGAAGGAAAAAAAGGGGAAAAAAGAAAATAATAAAAATGAATGAAATAAAGAAGAAAAACATTTTTATAAATATTAATTTCGCGTTAAAATAAACCAAGGTGGCATACGTGGCATGTTTGTACCCTTTCGTTTTGTTCATCGTCATCTTTATACGCGTTCAGTCGTTGACCGGAGCTCGCCCCGGAATGATAAAATTCTTTTTACCCGATCGAAGAATTCTGACCGCCGAAGTATTTTTTTTTAAATTTTCAAACTTCAATCCCCATAAATTGATATAAGTTATATAGCCATGAACTATTCTACTATTAATTATACGCAGTTTTACCTCCGGTTCTGAATAATTTTTGGGGTCCCGTTTTTGGATCCAAGGGTTCCTGTTATAAACTCTGATTATATGGTGATTTTTTTAGTTTTTAAAAAAAATAACGATATAGGTATAATCGAAATTAAATATTTATTGCACGATTTCTGGGGCCCGAAATTTGAATACATCGTTTTTACTGTTTTTAGATTTTAGCGATCGCATTTTGATAGGCGTTAATCAATCCCTAAAAGTTGTATGTAAATTTAATTCCCACTCTTCATTCTTCGACATCTAATATATATAATCTCCATAATCAAAACATGATCGTTTTCGTATCTTCCTAATGTATTTAAAATTTAAGGAGACTATATAGTGTAGTGTTACTTTTTTGCTCTCTACGAGAGTTCGAACCACAAACCTCCCGTTTCTAAGTTGCATGTTTTAAAGCATGCACCAACTTGAATATAATTAAATTAAAAATATTAATTATATATATATTAATTAATAGCTGATATTTTTAAAATTCTGCCGTTTATTACCATACTAGCTGAAGGGTTGAAGGTAATTATATAGTTTATGTGTATGGTACTAAATATATTTTATTAATAAATTTTATATAAATATTAAAATTTAGGAGAGAAAGAGGTAAAATTGTTGCAACGTATACCGTGAGCATGTATTAGAAATATCAAAATTTAAATTTGTGATGGAAATCGTATTGGATAAAATTTAAAATAGAGTGCTTTAAGATTTTTGAATTTTAAATATGGGTTATACATTGGCCTGAAATTTTTTTTTTTGCAGACATAGCCAGGCCTGATCAAAAAACTAAGTCCCATATAACTTTCATAAAATTTTGCCATTTTATTTAAAATTCAAAAATTTTGAAGAATCTCTATTATTAATTTTACCCAATATGATTCCTATCACAAATTTAAATTTTGATATTTCTAATACCCTTAATGCTCACGGGTTACATTGCAACAATTTTACCTCTTTTTCTCCTAGATTTTAATATAAAACATATTTATTACCATATACACAAACTAACTAATTACTCCTCAGCCCCGTCATTCTTGACGGGTTATTAGCTATTAATATATGTTTTCAAAGAAAGGGATTGTTGATCCATTAGCTTAATTGAAATATATATATTTTTTAAATTAAAATAAGCTTTATTTCTTTTTTAAGGTTTTTGCCTTGTAAGAAACAAATTTTTAAATAACTTAATTTCCTTCTCATATTTTTGCCAACTTTAAACTTTAACGATACATATTTCTCTAAAGGTTGAATCTTAACATGGAAATATTTACCATCATTTTGCTTTCTGTAGTATAATTATAGTATACATTTGCCATTATTATTATCTTTAATTATTTTAAATTAAGTTTTTTTTTGAGGATTAACACTTTTCGTTCATTTTATAATTTTACTTTTGCTTATTATATTTTATATCGAAATTATTATTATCAATAGAGTCGATTTAATAAACATATACCATGCCCTTGTAATAAATATACTTCTTATTATCTTCGTGTTGAGCTAACATTATTTTCAATCAAAAAACAGAAATATACTTTTCCCACGTAGACCTATTTACTACGACCAAATCCTACCCATTTCTTTTTTCGATTTATTACAGTTTTCCTTTATTATTTTTTTTCTTTGAATCATAACCACATTACAGTATTCGCGACATTACACATATATTTTCATTTACGACGACCATCTTCATTTTTATCACCTTTAATTTTATGCATTTTTTTCCTAAACAAAGGTTTGGCACGACGCCGTAGTCCAGTCCTTCTTCTCCAACTTTGTATGCTGGGGCCCCATCATCATGATGGCTAGCCACAATTCCTTCTTCAATAATTTGCTCCGAGACTCCCTCGTGGTGCCTTTCGTTAACTCGTTAGCCGCCATCATTATTGGCGTCATTTCTTTTGCCATCGTGTCCTACATATCCTTCCATACCTGCATACCTTTCTATGACGTAGCTCCGAAGGGTTAAACTTTTTTTTTACAAGATAGCCATTTTGTTGGGATATTTTTTTAAAAAAATTGATGATTTATATTTAGTTGTAATGAATTTTATATCTAATAAGTGCTTACAAATTGGGCAGCAGCATTTTGTGTTGTGTTAGGGAAATTTTTATAAAAAATATTAACTATTTTACGTCTTTTAATCCCCTTTCCCTACAAAAACTTTTAACCAATTTTCAGGGTGCCATTATATAAAATAGATTATTTTAAATAAAATGTTTCAATTTTTTGTACTATAATAAAATAAATGCGATAAATAAAACCTTCGAAAAATGTATCATTAAAAGAAAAATTGTTTAAATAAGGTGAAAAGATTTTATAAATAGAAACTTTTTTTATCTTTAACTCAAAGATATTTCCGGCTTAAGTCCGCGGTGGACGGGTATTAAATTCGCCCGCTCCTTGTTTTAGAAAAACCCGCCTGCCCGCCATTTTTTTTAAAAGATATTTACTTGCTCAGCTATTTCATAATTTTGTTTACCACCCGATGTTTAAAAAATTTACATAATTGATTGGTTTGGCTTTTTATTTTTAATATATTTTTTTAACCTATAAAATATGCGATATTATTGAGTAAATTTTAAATAAATATTTTACATTTACCCATTCCGCCTATTGTTTTAAAAAATATTCTTAACCTTCCCACCCAATCTTTAATTGTTGTATCCCACATGCTGCAGACCTCTATTTCAGACCCTGTCCAGGCCAAAAAGAAAATTCGCAAATCTAATAAAAGTTTTCTTTTCATTTTTTTTTAAAAAAGATCCTAGCTTCATATACGTCATATACCCAGTCATAATCTCCACATTTCCCATATCGCCCCTATGGGGGTTTCTCTTATTCGCTACCATAACCCAACTCGGGATAAACAGCCAACTCTTTTGCGTGAAAACACTTATCACCTCGATCATGGATGAAAAAATTCCTCATTTTACGAAACCATTGAGGATAATATTTTGCACCTCGCTAGTTCTCTACCTTTTTGGACTCATATTCGCAACAAAGGTTTCAATTTAGAATAGCTTATATTTTACTTATTAAAGATGATAGCATCATAGCAAATTTTTTTTAAAAAAAGTTATGATATTAACTCCGCAAGGTGGCCTATTTTATTAAAAAATAGAGTTATATTATATTTTAAGTATATTTTAAAATTTTTAAAATTATTGCCTAATGCAAGACTATCAATTTATTATAAAACAAATTACGAATAAAATTGCTAGATTTCTTTTATTACTTTTTTAAAAAAAAATTTGATATATCTAATAATCAGGACGCACCATTTTGGGACTGATCCCTCGGAGCAGATGGGTTCTAGCGCCATTTTTTCTTCTTACTCAAATGAGAGACTAATTTAATTTATTTTTGAACTAAAACATAACATTTTAAAAGCTAAATTCTTGCTTAAATTTCAATTCAATACTCATGTTCTAACTTTTTAACATACTATTTCCCCATCTTTAAAATAATTTAGGATTTAAATTTTTTTTTTTAAATGTGTTAAATAGGCTCGGTGTATCTTAAAGATGATTGACTCTATTTTGAAACTATAAATCAGGACTTTGTATTGAGGAAATCTGCCTATTTTAAGATATATTTAATTATATTCCCAACATCAACTTCTATTATATACACAGAGAGGTGTCTACTTGATAGAATTTGTCGATTTCGAAACAACGGCATGGTCTTTGCTAGCCATAGCTCTCCTAGAATGCGTGATAGTCAGTTGGGTTTACGGGGCCGATCACCTTCTACTGGATATTCGTATAATTCTACGCCGACCTCTTAGACTCTTATGGCACGCCGCGTGGAGCTATACCACACCCCTTACACTTATGATTATAATAATCGTTTCGATTTTGGATAACAGGGATATTATATTGCCTTACCCGTTGATTACTGGTTTTTTTTACCGATGATATATTTGTAATTTAAATATATTTTAAATCCGAATAAAGATTATAAATTAATTTCAAACAAAAAAAACGAAATAATTTTTTTAATTTAATTTTTAAAAATTAGACATTTTTTTTTATAATATTATTTTTTTAAGAAATTAATGAAAATTTAATTTATGTAAATAAAAGAAGAAAAAAGATAGATTTTTTAAAAAATATCTTAGTCATTTTAAAGTGTTCATAATCTTTCAAATTCAATATTAAAAAATTACAAAAAGATAAATGTTTGATTATAAATATTTAAAAAAATATATCCAGGTAGCCCTCTTTTGGATCACCTGGGATTAAAACCCTTTGTCCTATTGTTTTAAAAATTTTTAGGGCTTGAGGTGCAAATGAACCACAGATATCTGGAACTAGTGTTCTGCATCGGGCCTAATTTGTCAAGCCCGACCCGAAATTTTTCTAAAAAATTTTGCCGATTCGAACCCGAATTTATTTAAATATAGAAATTAATTTTTATAATTACTCAAAATAAAAGATATATGTTATATGGCGTCTAGTTTCTATAAATAAAATCAAATATTTTTTATTTTACATTTCAACATAAAATTAATAAATTTAGATATATTTAAAAAATATTCCAAGGCCCGAACCGGGCCGAGTTCGAGTCGGGCCTACTTTTGCAGATCTTTATCTGAAACAACTAAAATAAACAATACATTATTTAGCGGCTATATATTTTGGTCTTTGTGCTTTTTTCCTTCATGATGAATTTGACAGAATAGTATCTGGCGAAACGCTATACACAAGGATAATCCTAAGCGAGAAGCGAGGGGTATACCTTGGTTTCAGAGACTAGGATCATCCCATCGGGTCTTGTTTGGTTATCTTGGTTGAGGCCAGATGGTTCCGTCTTGGAAGGAATATTTGTGGATCTCAACGTTGTATTGATGATCGAATTAATGGCATAATACATAGATAACTTACCTTTTGAAAAACCACAATGAAGAGGGTGGCGGCCTAGGCTATCAATATGGGTGTCACACAGAGTTCATGACGTTGCTATTACAATTTAGCTGCCCATTCGAAGACCTATAGCAATTCTTCTTCGATAAGTAAGAGGCCTAAATAACAAGGTATTGTTTCTATCTAACCATTCATAACTTAGGTAACAACACATCATACAACAGCTTTAGACCTCCGGAGTAGGAATGCTTCAAGCAGCTCATTTTCAAATTCTACAAGAGAATAAAACCGGAATTTAATATTAACCTAGCATTCTCTCGAGTACCTACACTCAGAAGTTGTTCAAAGAAAATTTCCATCTCTCTTTCTTCATTTAAACCTTACCCAGAGTACACAGAGTGAGAACAAAGACTTGCCAGATCAAAAATTCCTGCCACATCTGACACCCATATCTATAGCCTAGGCCACCACCTTCTACATTGGCGCTTTTCAAAGTCAGATTATCGTGGTTATTTTAATTATTAGTTAATTATTTTACGAGGAAATATTAAAAAAATATACATCCACTTAAATTGAATAATTATTATTTAAATATTTAAAACTCAAATTTCAACAAGAATACTTTTAATATATATAATTAATAAATATTTATTAATATACTTATTGTTATGATTTTATTTGAGTTTATATTTTACGAATAATTACTAATTTCATAAAACAAAATAATAATAAATTTACCAATTTTATTTAAATTTGAGTTTTAATTTACTAAAATAAAGGCCCAATATATGGCTTATTTACATTTGATGAAATAATAATGATCTAAAAATAATGGCAACCTGATTTAAATCTTACAATCCTACAGGGTATTTATTCATATGGTTTGTAATATGTTTGATATACTATTTTTAAAATTGATTTTTTTTTCGAGATTTTTTATTACCGTCCATTCGAATAACATTTGACCAATAAATCATACAATTTATATATATAATTTAGCCAAAAATCAGGGTTTCGACTCCAAAACGGTGTGGATAACTGGCCTGGCTTGGGCGATCTCAATCTCGCCTCTCATCATCATCATATCTGTATTCGTTTACCATTTCCTCAGGACAGGGGTAAAATCTTCAAAGGCGACCCCTACAGCCAAAATAATCTCCAGCTCTTCCATGCCCACAATGAAGATAGCCAAACACGCTAAAATGAACGAAGACGCTTACATCATCAGTGGGATTAATAGACCCGCAAGTTTGGGTTCTCCCACCTCCAGCAATATAATTAATGGCAACGAACAATCTGGTCAAAGGACAGGGGCAGAAGGAGCCACTGCCAGTGGTAAGCATTATAGGAGACTTTTTTTTGATCGTAGCAGGAATAGACTCAGGATCAAGAAAGAACCACCTTCCCAGCTCACTGCTCCCACTCTGAAAGAGGTTGGCGAAAAAAATTATGTCATCATTTTATAACAACTAAATTGAAAATGACAAATTATTTGTGAGCATAATTTTTTTTTTTAGAAAACAAATATAATAATTTTCTTCATCATTTTTTGCCTTGGATTCATCCATGGTCGTCTACTGTGACTTTCCGTGAGTTTTTGTTTGTAGCTGCGAGACATTTTTTTCGACAATTGGAGGATTTGTAGGGGCTTAGTAGCTCATCGATTTGGCTCGAGTAGATTTAGTTCGGGTCTGCCACGTTTATGATGGCCATGAATCATATTTTAGAGAACGAAAATATTTGTTATTCGGTTTTTTTTAATTATGTTACATAAGAAGGTACGCTTTTCTAAATGGAGGTGTACTAGAATGTTTTGGTAGCTTTTTCTTAAATTTAATTTTAAAAATTACTGATGTCTTAAATGTAATAACAGATGCTGGATTGCCATTTTTTCTCGTGCTCTAATTTTTAGAATTTTAATTTTATATAACAAAGTATAAAAATTGATATTAAACTTGATTCTTATATATTATTCATTCATTCATAAAGAGATTGATAAAATGCATAAGCGCCACTCCCGAATGGGGGCCCTTTACGGAAAATCATCAGTTACTCCAACAAATAGCCTTTAGAATTCAACGGTGCAACCATCAGATTCTGAATAAAGCCGTCCATAAAAAGGCTCGGGAAATCATCAATCTCGTCAACCAATCCGGTTCATAATAAATTTTATTAGAACGAAGATTGAGTTTTATTAGAAATTGAAAGTAGAAATAGAAGACATTTTTTTTATGGAAAGTGGGATGAATATTCGGGGTTTTTATTATAGAAAATAATTTTCGAATTAATATTTCTCTAAAAGAATAAATCAATCAAAATAATCTTGATTTAACAATAACGAAGACATATCAGCAATAATTAACTAAATTACCGCTTTCGCCACTTTATATGTATAAAATTCGAAAGAAATATTTTTGTTATAAAAATATGAGTGACAATATATTAACGCCATTAATTAAAAGAATAATTTTAAAAAAATTTTTTTAAGTAATATTTAAGATTTGGACTATTGCAATTTTATGAGAATCGATTATAATCAGTTCTTTGAATATGTAAGCAGATCCCTCACTCACTCTTTAAACAAAATTTCACTCTTTAAACAAAATTTTGAAGCGTCAACAGGTTATCAAGATTTAGAATTGGAAAAAATGGGCAATATTAAAGAAAAAAAGTTTGAGGGAAATACGGGAAGATTGAGGAAATCTTTGCATTCATGTCACATTTATTCTTCCACTCTTTTATACAAATTAATAAATTATCATTTTTTAATATTTAGATGCAATTTTTGAGATTTTTTATTTACCTCTTCTTCCCATATACAAAGGATCCACCAATCTATGCATCAAGGATCTTTTGTTCATAAACCCCAACGCCCCAGCCGGCAAAGACGGCGAAACAAGGCTACAAAACATAGAAGATATTGGGACCGTTAAAATGAAAGCTCCAAGAAAATATTCTTTATTTGATGGTTTTAATTTTTTTACCCTTACTCAATTTAAATCGTTTATCGTTTTTTTTCACTTGATCATCCATAAACTAGAAAAATTGTTTTGATTCTTATTTTATTTTTTCCGTGAATTTTAGAAATATATATACTCTCCATTTAATATACAACTAGTCGATATCATATGTTCCATCCAGGACGGAGTCATTCTACCCCCCCCCCCCTCCAACTCAAAGCCATTGACGCTGTGGCCACTCTGATGACTAAAATATAAAATATATATTGATTAAGAGGGTACCCTTCTTCCCATTTTCCCAAGATTTTAATGACACAATTATTCATACCTCCGGTAGTGTTATTAAACGGCTCGTTTTGAGCCGATTTTTAAAAACGGCTAACTCAATACTTCATCCAGAACAATATTTCGCAAGCCTGAAGATTTTGCTCATAGAAGGAACGAAGGTCTATACATATAATATCGAAATCTCGAGGCTTAGGCAATATTTTTCTGGCCAAAATATTGATTTAGCCGTTTTTAAAAATCGGCTCAAAACGAGCCGTTTAACAACAATACCTCCGAGTTATAGGGCCCCTGAGCCAGGGTATTTCGTTTTTACAAACCAATAACATTTTTTTTAAATAAATTAAAATATGTTTAATAATTGAAAAATAAGTAGGACTTCGACTCGGGCCAGAAAATAAACTTTCTTAAAAGTTATAAATCAAAAACAAAAAAAATGTTAAATTCGGTTTATTGGTTTTTTTGTCTTGTTTTCAGTAATTTTTTGGTATGCACCTTAGAAATATAAATATCATTTTGTTGATATATTTTTTTTTCTAATTCTTACCTCGAGTACTTTTGGAATGGAAGAAATTTTTTAAGAATAATGGAAGTAACCGATGAATTGTATATTTATAAATGGGCTTCTTGTACTCGAACTTGAAAATTATTTTTAAATAAAAGCATCGATGATAATATTACATATTTAATCAATAAAATCAACTTCAATATACATAATAAACATATATAAAGAAAACATATACAACACTTCTTTTCCTGGAGGTCCATTAAAATAATTTTAAATTAATTTAATCATAACTATATATAAATACTACTATATATATATATGTATGTTAGCGTCAATGTGTTAATTTTTCAATTTAAGTCATTTTTTGAGAACTTTTTTAAAAATTTATATTAAAAATCTATGGAAAAACTAATTTAAACTATATCAGGGATACATTTCCTGTGAAATCAAATTTTTAAATTTAAAAAACCTCAAAAAATGATTTAAAGTTGAAAAAATAACATATTGCCGCACATTGACGCTAACATATATATCAATCAAATTTAATTAAAAACTATAAACTACATATAATTGAATTACTAATATGCTGGAAAAATATACATATACATATCTTGCTCCCCTGTGCTTCGGAGTCATTTAGCAACACGTCCTCTAGGTTATTTTGAATGACCTTCATTTGAGGATCACTGTTATCAATTATTCCTATCACTTCTATTGGGGCCGAACATGTCAAACTTATAATTTGAGTATATTATATAAATCGTTTTGTATTTCATCAAAGAATGGAAGATTTATTAATTTGATACTAGACTCATCAAAGTATATAAAAGAATAATTAATAAATATAAAAAAAACTATTATAATATTGAATATCTATATATTTTATTTCAAAATTCCCTCAAGCCATAGGGCCTTTGACAAGCTCCTTCATATCCCATCTTTGGGATTTGAACCATTATATTGATATTTCTCTATCCCCCCCCCCCCTCCTATATCAATCTAACAAATTTTAAAATATTATGAAAGCGAGAAGTCAAATAATATAGACTACTTTTAAATAATACATTTAGGCTACAAAGAAGTTGTCTTCATGGAACTGCCGAAGGACCTAATGACCAAAATAGACGAGCCTGGTGTGTACACATTTCTTCAGCCGCTCGATATTGACGTTCCTTCTAACATGATACTCCTACCTAATTCTGCCCAGCCAGATTCTGATAAAATCAATAACCGTCAAGTTTTTTAATGAATTTATTTCAGAATTATTTACTTGAACCAAAAAAAAAATATAAATTACTTTTTTTTTGTTAATATTTTAAAACATAAGCAAAGTCGAAAATGTATTTAAGAAATAAAATTTAAAATACAGTTTGATAGTTTCCTTTTTTTAATGATAGAAAAAGGAATATTAGCATTCACATTTAGCACGAATTCGCGGCGATAGGCATTTTTGCTCGCCACGAATTCGCGTTAACTAAATGCAGAGTTATAAATTTTTTTTTTAATCAGTAAAGTATAATTTAGGGTGATCGCGCAAACTGCAAATCAGAGACCTGCAGAAATTCCATTTGCACGGCCCTGATTTTTTAAAAAATATTTTATATTTATTTTTAATTTTTATTGATAATAATGGGGATTTCGGCCCGGCCCAGGTATATTTAAAAAAATTAAAATACGACTCAGCCACAGGCTGGTCCTTCAGGTCTCTGCTCAGCGTAACTCCAACTTTTTTTTAACCATCGGTGTATTACCCTTAATATCGTATAAAGTTGCCGTTAAAATTTTTTATGTATTAGGATGATTCCCGCAATTACTATTCCCCCAGGTTTCGATCGCAAGATTTCTCGGTTGATTTTCCCAAGATAGCTATGGCTAACGAATCTCGGGGGGACATATTGGATGGCGTTAAAGCTGACAATGAAAACATGCAGAAAAATGACCTTTGGAACAAAATCAAAACAGCCTACCTTCACAACAACGAAAAGGAAAAATTTGCGAAAGCGGCATTAGACTTGTCCAAAATGGATCACATGGAAAAGGTCTATTATTTAATTTATGGATTTCGGTTTCCAAATGTTTGCCTATTATTAGTTCTCATGAGAGGATATTATTTTCAAACCTAGGGGAAGCAAAAAAAATTACCCTGTTATATTATAAAATGTTTAATGGAATATTTTAATGTTTCTTTATTATTTGAATTTGAAAAATTAAATTTATATTTAGTAAAATAAATTTTTTTTAAAAAAAAGGGGCGCAGAGGAAGTGATAAATTTTTTATCGAAACCGATTATCCTATGCATAGTTTTGTATTCGGGCGAAAAACGGATATCGATCATAGCATCGGAACCGACAAATCATCAGGTAGGTTATATTCTTTTCTACAGCGAGATAATCCACTCTGTCTAATTTTTTTTTAAAAATATGTCGTATAGAAACAATAAATTCACTATTGTTCCAAGTTATTTAGCTAGAATACTAACGTTTTATAAAAGTACAATGTTAGGTGTTTGGATCTGATATTGTGTATCATTTAAGATTTTCTTGATAATTTAATGCGATTGAAAGATAAACTCGCTAATCTTATCACTATAATAACACACCTTAAAAATAAAACTATATTTAGGATTTTTAGATCCAATCTTTTATCCCTCCGAAATTCCTTACCAATTATCCCCATCTCTCATTGGGTCCTCCAGCAACAATTACTTATCTATACCAGATATCGACAGAAGAAGGTCCTCTCTAATTACCAAAAGTTTTTCCCCTGTTAAAACAACTACTAATGATAATCAAACTAACATTCCAAAACGGTGCCGCTTTACGCTGGCCCATATAGACGCCGAACATATAAGTACTCCCTTGACGCTTATTCAGCAAAACAATCATTCACTCGAAAAATTAAACGATAGGGAACAAGAAAAAAGGGAAAATGGATTGAAAGAAGATCCGCTGGAATTTAAGTTGATTGACGGAGATATGAACCTGCTCGAAGATCCTACTAATCCTAACACTTCATCTAGGATTTGAATTTTTCTTCATTTTCCTACAATATTTTTTTAACATATAGTAAAGGGAACAATAAATATTCTTAGAGAATTTATGGCAATTATTTATTATATATCGCTATTTATTTTTTGACATATATATTATTATAGATTTTTAAATATCTATTTTATATTTTTATATATTTACAAATCTCTAAAATATTTCATATATTATGAGATATAATTATAACGGGTTTATTTTTATTAACATAAATAGTATTAGTATTATACAAGAGAAAATATTACTATTTAAAATAAATTAAAATTTTTTTTATTCGTAACATTAAAATTCAACAGGGCTATAAAAATAGCTCCCATTTAATCGCTCAGAATTAAAACTGAAATGCTCAGAAAAAGATCTGAAAACGTTCAAAATAACGACTTATGCCATCTGGGTCGACTTACTACAAATATACAAAAAAGCAAAAGAAAATATTTTTTTAGAAAAAAACAAAAACAAAATAACGAGAATAAAATATGAAAAATAAGAATGCCACCAAATACTTAAAACAAACCAAAATAGAGTTCAAATTTTTTTTAGCTTATACTTAAAGCAATCAATTATCCAAATTAAGTCCACTCAGGACACGGCCTTAACCCTCAGAAAAAATACTGAATGCTCAAAATTATTTCTTTAATGTTCAAATATATAAAACTTAATTGCCAAGAAAAAAATACAAATTGCTCAGGTATAAACTAAAACGCTCAGATTAAAAAATGAATTTCTCAGAAAAATATATGAAATACTTAGAAAATTTGTCACTAGATTTTTAGAAAAATATCTGAAATTCAGTAAACAAAAAAATGTAAGTTTTAAAGGTGTGTTCGGGTTCGACTTATTTCTAAACAACCGGATGTTTGACAAGCTATTTAGATTCTATTAAACAGCCTAAGAAGTTTAGTTGGGTAATTACTATATCTTTAGCCGTTTAAGCCAATTTTTAGTCGAAAAATATCATTGTTACCTCGCAGGTTTTCTTAATAATATAGCAGCTAATTTAGAATAAATTAATATAAATTAAAACGCCTTAGTTTGTAGGAATTTTCTCTCGCGCATGCCTACAAAAAATATAATAAAATTTTTTTTAAAAAACGAGAAAAACTAAGATTGACACTAGAGGCACCTCATCGTATCCAGAGTTTAGTCCTAAGTATTTGAGGATTAAAGCGTTTGTGACTTCAATGAAATGATTAAACCCCTCCGATTTCTTAAATTTAGCCAGAATAGGGTTAAGAAAGTATCTTTGTGCCGAGGACTGTATTTTAAAGATTTTTTTTGATGACCCGAGTTTTATAATTTTAAGCACACCCGGATTTTAAAATATATTAATTTTGGGCGGGTTTTGGATCGGGACTGTAGATCTCTGCATAGAATATTCATGCCATTGTTATAAATCAGTCTGATTATCTTTTTTTCAAATTTTATTCTTAAATGGCTGAACAAATTCCCAATCTTTCCAATGCCCATTAATTATTTTTTTACAAACGAAAATGTTTTTAAATATTTTAGAAAAGTTGTAAAATATAAATATTATTTAACTAGTTAAAAAGAAATATTTACAACGATCCAGAACTGTAGCAGAATAAATTGAGTTATTGTGTATATCTTAGAAATTTATAAATTTTCTATCGATGAAACCCAAATTTTTACTTAATTCTTTTAGATTAAAATTTTTTTTAAAAATTGGCTATCTTAGATATTTGTATTTTTAGTTTATGAGCAATTTGAAACAATCACTAAACATAGTCCTGAAAAATATATCGCACAATCTAGCTGATATATTTTTAAAAGAATTTGATTTAATTATTTTAACCTATAGCTGGAGAGAAACTTCATGTCCTCCAAATTTAGATATTATTTTAAGCAGGATGATTATAATTAAGTCTTTTCCCCTACTTATTCAAAATATTTTTCCACCTTACGATTTTTATAGATATTTTTATTCTGTTTATTAGACATAAAATTAAAATATTTATAATCTCATATGTTATTTCTTATTTAAGGGAATATATCATTTATAAAAATAAGAATAATGATAATTTATAATTAAAATAACATATAATATTTGCGTAATCTGCATCGGGTATAATTTTTCCAGAGACCTACAGAGGTACCATTTGTACGGCCTGGCCCAGATTAAAAAAATTTAGGCCCGGCCCGGTTTTTTTTTCAAAAATTTTTTACGGCCCGACCCGGGTTTAAAAATTTTAGGCCCGGCCTGGCCCGAATATTTAAAAAAAAAATTTTTAGGGCTTGGCCCGGCCTGGATTTAAAAAAAAAATTTTTAGGGCTTGGCCAGGCCTGGATTTAAAAAAAAAAATTTTTTAGGCCCGGCTCGGAATTTTTTAAAATTATATTCGACCTTGTATATACAAAATATTTATTATTTCGTATTTTATCATATATTTTGGCGAGTATTATCATTTAATAAGCAAGTATATTAGCTAATGTTGTTAAACGGCTCGTTTTGAGCCGATTTTTAAAAACGGCTAACTCAATATTTTCGCCAGAAAAATATTGACTAAGCCTCGAAATTTCGTTAATGTATGTCTTGACCTTTGCTCCTTCTATGAGCAAAATTTTCAGGCTTGCACAATATTTTTCTGGATTTTTTTTTTATTCTAAACAGATATTTAGTATATTACAAATTGATACTATAAAAAATTTATGTAAATAATATTTTGAGAATATACTATGTATTTATAAAAAAAAATAAAAATGATATTTTAATTAATAAAAAATATACATATATTATATAATAATGTATTTAATCCTTTGCTTATTTATTCCATGGCAGGAAAACTATAATTTCATTATGTAATAGATACTATGAGTGTTAGTTAGTGTTAACTTTCACCAAACATTATATTAATCAAAACTATATATAATCATTATAACCATATCTAATTGACGAATATAATAATTCATGTTGTATAAATTTTTTAAAAAAATAAGGCCCGGCTCTAGTATTTTTTTAAAAAAAAATTTTCAGGCCCGACCCGGGTATATTTTAAAATACGGCCCGGTCATGGTACCCGGGCCGGGCTTAGGGCCGGGCCTGCAGGTCTCTGAATTTTTCAAACCTGACCCGGCCAGATATTTTTTTAAACAAAATTGTCTAATAAAATTTTTAATATCCCGAAAAGCTAGAAAATTAAAAATGCTTATCAGCTCGGTTCAAATTAAAAATTAGAAATTTTTTTTAATTATATAAAATTATTCTACAAATAAAAAGTATTGGCGCTTCGTTTCTTGCAAGAATTTTTATAAAAATTTATTGACAACATTTTATTATATCGTATTTAAAAATTTAAGCAACTTGACCCAAATTAAAATATTAATCCCGAACCGAAATAATTTTTAAAATGAGAGTCGAGCTCGGAACTGGATTTGCAGATCTCTAGCACATACAATGATGTATATATAAATATAATATACTACTAGATTAGCATTAATTAAAGTCATAAATTGGAATCAGCTGTAGCATTTATGGTGCCCTTCGACTATTTGTCTTATCATTATGTGAACGCATAAGATCAGTGCAAACGCCAGCGTCTCATGACAGGATTTTCACTGGATGCAAACCCCCTTCAAAAGGTTTTGTCTACCCCCCTAAAAAATTCCCGGCGCCTATTATTTTCACCTATTTATTTATTAATACTCTTTTCAAAAAATTTATAAAGGATAACTTAAATTAGTCTATCTCTACTACCAACTATCGATATTTTGTGAATATAAAGAATTTATTTTTTAGATAATAAATTCAATTAAAACCTCCATTATTTACAATGAATTAATTATTATGGCATTATAAGCTTGCTGAAATATCTAAACCTTTTAAATTACATTTAAAAGGATAGTTTATTTGGAAAACAATGTGTATGATTGTTTGTAATATATAGATTTGGTCGATGAATTGTATTATAATAATACTATAATAAAAGTATTAATTTTTACAGCATTAAATTTTTTCCTATTTCATCTCAAAATTTAATAGATAACCCCCCAAAAAATTTAAATTACCCCCATTAAAACAGCTTCCCCTCCCCCCTACCCTCTCATAAAAATAGGATGCAAACTGTTCCTACCCCTCTCGCTCATATAGACGCTGGCAAACGCTCATAAAAGCAATGCTTCTATTGTAAATTTTCTTAAATAAAATCAATATAATTTTTATGCTACGTTCAAAAAATGAAGACTATTATATATCACTAAGTTGCCATTTTACTACCTTAAAAAAAATATATTATTTTTATTACGTTAAAAATATACATGCGGGAAGCAATTTTAAAATTGCTTATATTTTTAAAATTAAAAAAGAAAAATATTATGCTCATATAATATATTTTTGGTGTATTTTTTTATTGCCTTAATAAAAATTAACATTTGAAAACTAATAATAAAATTGCTTATTTAAATAAGTAAAGAGAAAATCATTATGTATTGTGTAATTTTACGTTTAAATGATAGGTGGTGGAAAAGCAAATAATAAAAGGCTTATTTTTTAATTACTAAAAGAGAAAAGAATTATTTATATTTTTTCTCTTTTTATTTATTTAAGTTGAAAATTTTTTCTTTTTTAAAAGCAATATTTAATATAAGTCAAATAATTGCAAATGTGTTGACGAAAACTTTTATTTTCTAAATATCCTAACTCAAGTAATATTGATATGAAGAAATTGATTATCGAATAAAGAAACTCAACCTTTAAAAAATGGTCAAAATTTGGTAAAGTTGTATTCCTAATATTGATATTCAAAATAACAAATACTTAGTGTAGTAACACGTGTCATAATAGAAGCCGTCATTGATTTCAATTTAAAACAAATTATTAAAAATAAATCTAGCAAATTATTTTTATGTTAAGTTTATTTTACTCAAAAAACAAAGACAAATAATGCTCATTAATACGCACATTTTAATCTTTTGTTGATATAAATGAAAAAATTAACTGATTCCTTAATAAAAATTATATTCACTTTTCGTCATTGGAATGCACGTTAATATTTAATCGTTATCTAAACCATTAAATGATATTACAGTAAATTCGAATGCATGGACACTTTCAAATGTAATTAATGAAGGCCAATCTAGCAGTATAATACATCACTATATGCTAGTGAAAATTTATATTTAATTTTGTTAATTTTACACTGCTCAATTATTGACCATATAAGAAAAATCTTATATTTC